TAGGGTGTGCACTAAGGAGAAAACAGGGAGAGGAAGTCACCAGGTGAGGGTGTGGTCTCAGCTTGGCCCTGTAGGATGATCGGGAGTGTTCACTTCACCACAAAGATGGTGCCACTTGAAGGCAAAATTGACTGTCTTTGGTCATTCTAGGCTGTCAATTATGGTCAATTATGGGCTGTGTGTTGCCCACAGTGCAGTGGGGGTGGGTCTGTGTAATCTCCCAGTGGGGTGGCTTCTGATCTGGTGGGTACTTTCTAGGAAAGGAGCAGCTCTGAACTGTTGGCATCAGAGAAGTTAGTGATGGGGCCACCAATCTACCAAGGGAAACCTGGCTTGAGCAGGAAGGGTTCACTAGTGTCACATATGTCTTCACTTGTCTTTTTCTAGTTCAATGAGTTAATTATAATTGTATTTATCAGGAAGAGAAGATGTCCTGGGACTGCGCGTGTTACGGTTTAGATCTAGATTGTTCCCCAAAGTCCCAGTGCTCAGTGATGGGGATTTTGGAAGGTGAATGCATTACGAGGGCACAGTACTCATCAGTGGATTCCAGAAGAGCATCCTGTGTGCTCGTGCAGGCCCATCAATGGGCAGCTTTGGGGCTGTGCCTGGCAAGACAAATGGGAGACGCTGCCTTGCCCATATCCAATCAGGTGTGCGGCCAGCTATAGTCAAAAGCCCATGCCCAGGAGCTTGTGTTTGAAGGCCTCCTTCTTAGGCATTTTTCTCCCCTTTGATTTAGTCATTTTCCACTCCTCACCCTCCTGGCTCCATGAAAAGTCAGAAGCCTTGAGTTCAAGCCTTGGGTTGGTCAACTTTCTGTGTCAGTGACAAAATATCTGAGATAAATAACTTTAAAGGAAGAAAGATTTATTTTGGCTCATGGTTTCAGATGTTTCAGTTCATGGTCACTCGGCCCTGATTCCTTTGGGGTTGTGGTAAAGTAGAACATCAGGACAGGGAGCAAGAGATAGAGTATAGCTGTTTCCCTCAGGGCAGCCAGGAGGTAAAGAGAGAGGAAGTCAGAGATCCCAGTATCTCCTTCAAAGCCACTCCCTCGGTGACCTCATTTCCTTCCAGTAGGTCCACCTCCCAGAGGCACCACAGGCTGGTGACTGAGCATTCAACACTTGAGATTTTGGGATGTATTCTAGACCCAAACCATAAAAGGCTGCTCAGCACTGAGACTGTTCCTCTCCCCCTGTGAGACAAATCCTCTGATTCTCATCCAGCACAATTCCATGAAGAAAATAGAAGCACGTGCCTTTCCTTTGTTTTTCCAGGAAGTGAAATAGGTTTAGTTCTTTAAAGTTTGGTTCTTTGTCCTAATTGATCACCTCAATGTATGGCAGCTGGGACCCTTCACCACCCAGCTCAGTAGATCTTTTTAGCCTCCTTTGCTTGTATTTATCTAATGTATCCTTATTAATTGAATCCTAGTTAGCAAACACTTATAGAGTTCTTGGAATGTTCCAGGGATTGCATTTAACATTTTACATGTATTTGTTCATTTGGATCTCAGAATAACACTAAGAATTGGAACTGTTGCTGTCTTTATTTTATATATAAGGAAAGCCAGGCAAACAGATATTGAAAAACAAAAGAAAAATTTCCTGGAGTGTAGCAGGGTAGAAGACTGACCTCAGGCCAGCCGACTGCACATCTTGTGTTCTCTGCCATTTTTGCGGTACCACCCCCCACTCACCTTGCTCTACTTAGCTCACACAAATAACACATTAGTGTTTAACCAAGCCATGACTTTGTTTGTTCAGATAGCTTAAATGCAATGAATTCTACATATATTTCAAGATTCAACTCAGACCAGAGTTCATCTGTAAAGGCTTTTCCAACCCTGATTGATAGCTTCTCCTTCAGGTCCCTCAGAGCATCCCTGCTACTTCTTTGTCTTCTTTGTAATACTTATCACCTTGTATTTTACTTATTTGTCTTCATTTATGTCTCATCCATGGCTTGTTACCTCCGCTCACTTGCCTTAGTACTTCTAGTGACTGACACACTAAAGGCTCTTGATAAATGTTAACTTAGTGAACCAGGAGCAAGGTAACTTGTGTTTGCATACACAGTGAAATCACTGCAGACACCCACATACTTGCCTAATTTGCTTGTATATTTCTAGACCATGGAATATTAGAGTAAACTTTCTCAGTGTATGTGTAAGCTCTGACGTGCTGCTCCCAGCTGACCAAAAAGCAAGATACATAAGTTAGATGTCTGGACAGTATCTTAATCCTGTCTTCCCAACTCTGAAATACTTGGTCAATGGCAAAATTTGAGTCTGGAAAATACATTATCACTTAGTGATGCTTTAAAAAAAATTTTTAAATAAAACTCCAGAAACATACAGTCTAATGTTAATAATATTTGAAAGTGTCTAAAGTGTTCTTTAAACAGCATAGACAGTATGATGAAGTCTTCTATATTTTACTCTCTATTAACTGTATGGTACAAAAAGGGATATCACCTTCAAAATTCAGACATCAACTGCTGAAAAATAATATTTATTCTATGAGTTAATTTTTAAAATTATACCATGAAACTAATGTTCCCTCTTAAATACAGTTCAAATATGCAAAATAGTGATTTTTTTTCCCAGACTGCCTGTAGTTATTTAGGCATGAAAAAGGTGAATTATATTTGACAAGGATAATAAATGTGCATTTAGCTTTGTATTAATAGCAGGCACCCATTCATTAATATTGACAAATATGTTTTTAAATTAACTCCAAACAAATTGTCACGGTCAAGTTATAATTGAAAAGCTTTGAGAGTATCTACTGTAATTTGAAATTTGGAAATGAAGATAATAAAACCCTTGGTGATAAGGGTAACAGTGTATAAAAAACTGCAAGTCTCTCTAGCTAAAGAATTGGCTTTATATGTGCACAATCAGGAGTTTGTGAGTTCACAGGAGGAAAAAATGCTATTCGTGTCACATTGACTGGTACGTCACTAGAAGAGGGAAAACCAGTATTTGTGGAGTTGAGAAAATCTGGGATACTTTAAACAGTTACAATGGTTAAACCCCTGCTTTTAATCTTAATGTCTTTCTTACACATTTTTAAGCACCTACTATGTGTATTTTCTAGTATCTGGGAATAAAATAGTAAGCTAAAACAAATTACATTTTAGTGACACAAATAAAATCAAATAAAACAGTGATGAATACCTAATCATAAACTGAATGAAAGGAACAGAATTTTATAGAGAATATTACAAAGGTATATGTGGTGTCAGGAAAGGCTTATCAGAGAAAATAATACTTGGTCCAGGTTCTGAAAGATGGCTTAGAGTTTGTTAGATGAAAAAAGTTATGGATTAGAGGGCGACCATTCCAGGCAAGGAGAACAACAGCTACATAACTTCCACACAGAAAACAGTGATCCAGTGGAAATGACAGGGAGAGAACGATCCAAGATGACTTTGAAGAGGTTGGCATACATGATATCAAAAACAGAAAACAGGCTCTGTATGACTTGAATATTTTCCAGTTTTTTGACCCTTGCTTTATTGCCCAGAATATGGACTATGTTGGTCAGATATTCTCTATATACTAGAAAGAAATGTTTATTCTCCCACCACTGGATGGTGTGTTTCATAAATGTCAGTCAACCTCAAAAAGAAGAGAAAAAATGTAAACCGAAAAATGACCTCATGGGCCATTTGAAGGACTCAGGCCTTCCTTTTAAAATAATGAAAGACAAGTTACAGTTTTAAACTGGAGAATGGCACGATCAGATTTGTATATTAAACATAGCACCTTTAATGACAGGAAAGGATGATACAAAGGTTGTTAGTAGCAAGGGAAGGAAAGATGGTGGTGGTGTAGATCAAGGTAATGGCTGTGTACAAATTCAAGATTTATTTAGGATACAACTCAGTACAGCTTAGTGACAGGAAGGGGTGGAGATGAGGAAGAGAGAAACCCAAAAAGGATAATTTCTCAGAGCTGGTGGTGTATTCTCTGAGATACACAGCACCACATGGAGGCCCTGACCAGGGAAAGTCCAGGGGAGTCTCAGCTAAGTCAAGGTACCTAGTAGAAGTGGAGGGATCCCAGGAGAATTAGCTAGATGGATCTGGAACCCAGAAGGAAGTTCACGTAGAAGAGTTAAAAGTAAGCAGAATAAAGACTAGCTAGTGAGAGTTGGGTGAATGTACAGAACTACTTCAGAGAGAAATACCAAAGCAAAACAAAAAAATAGCTACAAATTGAACCATTCCCAGCAAAGTGGAAATAGTTTGTGAAGCTCATACTAGGGAAATAATAAATGGTTTTATGAATATTAAAAATAGTAAAAACTGGGGCTTAGTGAATCAACAGCGTTGAGTCAAAACAAAAGACCAACATCAAAACTCCTGGTCCTAGGAAGAAATCCTCATCTTTGAGGAAGGAGTGGTTGAGTTAGTGGTGGGGAAAATAATGGAACAACAGAAATGTAAATCTCTGAGGTGGGGTGTGAATGAAGGAAGCAGATGGATCTTAGGGCACTTTCCCCTTACAAATTATCCTGGAGAGCTCCTATCGAAAGTAACTGGTCACTGTATGCTCCCTGGAACTGACATATGAGCATGTTCAAAGCCGGTAAGTTCCATTAATAAGGACATTTTAGGGGCCGGGGATGTAGCTCAGTGATTCCACTGCCTGCCTAACAAGCACAAGGTCCCAAGTTCGATCCCTGGTACCAAAAAAAAAGAACATTTTAGTAAAGTCACGCTAAAGCAAAACAAATCATATATTAATTTTAATAGTTAAGAGATTCAAATAGACAACTTTATACAACAACAAATTTATACTCACACTTTGATATGAAATGCAAATCACAAATAAGTTATGATTTTATGAGAACAGCAAAACTGTGAAGAAATAAGACACAAACAAAAGTTGATCTAGACCTTCAGCACTTGGGCATAAATAGAATCTCAAGTCTCCAGAATGTCTAAATTTGGTTTTTGTTTTCCACCTGAAGTTTCTTTTAATCTTTTAGAACTTTCTGACTCAAGAATCAAAGAATTATACTGATGTTTGACATATATAGGATTTGAGATCTCTTATATGTCACATATTACATGGAATTTGAGAAAGAAACAAAGCCCTACACAGTGCTTCTTTTTTTTTTTTCTTTATTCTTTTTTTTGGAAAGCCAAGATGCACACTATTCAATTCCCTTTGGCTTCAGAAATTTCTTTTTCCTTCATTGCAAAGGTGAAATATTACTGGGAAAAAAGTGTGTGGCATAAACTATGGAAGAAAGAATACAGATCTCTGCAAAAAAGAGAAGGAAATCTAAAAGAATCACTTTTACCTTTAGTAGTTTGAGGCTGGATAGAGAGCATTACCTAGAATCCATGTCTGAGAACAACAATCAGGGTATTACCGATTCTGTCTGGTTCTAATATTTAATTTTTCTTCAAGGCAAAACTACTTACTCTTACAATGGCTTACGAGAAAAGTAAACTGACTAGAAAATTCCAGGCTATGTCAAGATCACTACCAATATTCTTCCCGTAAGAGTTAATAATTAAATCTTGACAATATAAAAGTGTTGTCAATTGATGCAATATATGGGTAAGGACAATGTCAGGGCCAGTTTTCAGATCTTTATTGAGCATCAAGAATGTGGTTTAAGAATGAATCAGCACATTTATGTGGGATGCTGATAACATAAATAGTTCATGTATTTGAGGTATAAGGTCTAGAAGACTAGCTGGCAACTGCCTACTTTAAGCTACAGTACTACCAGGATGCTTTATTATCTTTTTCTAACAACAACAAAACAATCAGTTGGTTATGTTCAGCATTCAGGCTACTTCAGTGACAACGATAAAATATGATATAAAAATATAATGTAATGGAAACGTTCTTGAGCTTATATGCTATTTCAAATATTGCATTTTACAAATGAATTTCGGCATCTTTACTTTTTATTAATAGCCTCCAAAAAAAGAATACTTTGTGAGTACTTGCTAAGGGTATTACTACTACATCAAAAATACTTCTTGAATATTTTGAATGAAAGAGCCACAAAAATTCAGTGTGAAAAGTGGCATCCTCTAGCTCTCCTTAGCTAGAATCAGATCTACGTTCTCAGCCGCAAGCAGGACACTCAGAAAATGCTGACTTTAATTACAAACTTTATTCATCAATACAATTCACAGTTTATACATGGTGCATTCCACCATATGAACTTTCAAAACAGTGACTGAGGAGATGAATGTAGCTTTCTTTCTAAAAGAGCCTGACTTTGTAAAATTTTGGTTAGAATTTTTTAGATTTATAAAAGTACCTTCAACAAGTGAACTGAGTATTTACATTTCTACCTTAAATTTAAATTTGGGAAAATAAGCATCTCTTGGTTTGTCTGTAAAGATTCTGGTTTATTTTCTTAAGGCCCTCATCTGAGTGCCACTTGTTCAGATATTCCTACCCCAACTCTCAAGAAAAAGTAAAGGAACTCTGCTTTGCAATTATATTCAGGGAAATCATTTTCCTTCCTCAATTTAAAAATTATCAATGAACAGCAGATCTAAGTATGAAAATAAAGAGAAAGGGTAGCTTTATACTGGGTGCATTTACTGAATTTTTTCTGAATCTGGGGGACATCTAAAGAATTACAAGGTATAACATTAAACTAAAAAGGATTATCAGCCTTTCTATCTTAAAAAAGACTCTCAATATTTAAATTGTGCTATAACAGCATTTTCTCTAATGCCAGAGATGAATTAAGCCTGTAATCTGTATTTTTTCCATGTGCAAAATCACAGTGATCCCAGCTTCAGCTTGTGCCATCACAATGCAGTGACAAAGTGACCCCGGAAGGCTGGGCCTGTCCCTCCACTCACTGAGCAGGGCCTCCTTTCATTTGGCAAAAGTCACTCAGGAACGAGAATCATAGCCTTTCAGACATCACAAAGCAAAAGAAGCTGGCAGTATAATGTTTATTAGCAAATACTTGTAACACATAGTTTTGCTATTTTCTTCTCATGAGGATGAATTTATACCAACTGTTTTAGATCCCTCTAGTAATACCTATTTTTAACAATTTTCTTCCATCAGATCATTTATATATATATATATATATATGAACTTTCTTCTGCTTTTAAAAAATGTATAGTTATTAATAAATGATAGATTCCAAATACTGCCAGGAAAAAAGGGACAGTTTGTGAGCAGCCAAGGCTACCGGCTTGGTAATAATTACACCATTACACCGTACACATGTACCACTGGTACCTGAGTCAAATAAATACTCAGAGGGGCCCCCTCCGCACCTTTCTGGGCAGTGCCTGTATCACTAATTTCTGAGTGCTGTTTCACTGTCCTAATCTGGCATCTGTCCCTTCTTAAGGGATGAACGACTCAGTCCTCCGACACTGTGTCCAGCAAGGGGTGCGATTCCGCCTCAACCTCAGAGGTGAGCCTGGGGGGCGGGAAGGAGAAACCACACGCGTGTGAGCTAGAGAGGCTCTGTTTCTTCGTAAGATAAGGCACTGACAGAAATTTCTTAGGTAAAAGGCTGCATAAGAATTTCTTGCCATTTACAAAAAGAAATGTCATCCAGAAATGGTCCGTATCTAGGCTCAGTTAGGTGGACCCTGAGAAGGTAGAGACTGATCCTTCCAAGCTACATCATTACCAAAAACGGTTCCCATTCACTCCGAGGCCTTACGGCACATCAGGGGAAAGGGGAGGAAAACAGTCTGGGCACAGAAAGGCATCGGACAGCACTCGTCCTTCTGCTGGTCAAAGGGAGCAGAGCGTCCCACAAGCATCCTCAGAAAGAGAGCGCTGGCTCAGGGTTCCATTCTCGGTGGCAGGTGGCCATGATGGGTGTATCTACTGGCTTCCCTTGGGAGCTCACGCACAAGGTTTAAACTGCTACCAGCAACAGTCACAAAGCGCACACAGAAGTCCTCACCTAGGCTAGGGCTAAGGCTCTTCCAGACAGAGGGCTACTTAATGTTCTCGATCACAGCGATCTCTTCACCCGCACAGTGTGGCGTCAAGCCATTCAGATAGATGCTCTCAGTCTTCAGTAAGGGAGGCAGGACTTCCCTCTCGCTGGTCAGGTGGTTCACCGACAGGGTCCTCCTGCACGGGGTCAGCTCCTGGTTGTGGTTCCCCGCCAGCTCTGCAGACAGCTTCCTCTTAATGGAGGTGGCTCGCTGGAACTTGTCGTAGATCTCCACGCTCAGCCGCCTCCGTGTTTCTTTGAACTCGGCCGTGACATTGGCTGTCCACTCTGCAGCGTGGGCCCTGAACTCTCCCACCTGGAGCACAGAAGCCGAGAAGAGAGAAGGAAAGGTCAGCATGAAGGTCAGTGTTGTGTGTGCTTTCTCTTCTGGTCATTTTATTTTAGGGTTTAGAAAGAAGATTGGAAACCGCAAAGAGTGTTGCACACTGGCAATCTGAGCACTGTGAAAGGCTGAGGCAGGAGAATCCCACCCAGTCTGGGGCAACTTAATGACTTATAGAGACCCTGGGGACATAGCTCAGAATAGCTCAGTGCAAAGGCCCTGGGTTCAATCCACAGTACCACAAAAGAAGATAGAGAAGAGGAAGAAATGAAGTAACAGCCTTTCCTAATAGTGAAGATCTGACAGTTAATGTAATTAGGCAAGCTGAACAGAGCATGATTCTATGATTCTATTTTATACAGACATGACTCTAAACATTAATTATGGTCATAAGTGCTATAAATCAAATCATTTGTCAGAGGCACTTGTATTTTATACATGAATCCTGTCTTAGAAAATTGAGAAGATGTAAAGAGGAAATCTCCCCATTTTCTGGAAAACGCTTGCAGTATTTTACGCTTTTCATCTGTACGTAATGTCGAGAAGATTTGGATGTAGAAAAGGCAGCAAGACAGAGTCGAAGCCGGAGAGCAGGGGAAGAGTTGGAATATGCACCCCGCTGACCCAGGTGAGCTTTGTCTGCTCAGGACGGAAACCATGAGTGCAGGGACCTGTGCTGAACCTCAGACTGGGTCATTTAAAAATTCTCTGTTTCTGAAACATGCAATAAAATATTTTGCTTCTGCTCTCGGGGAAAGCAAAGAAATGAAGACAGGCAAGTCTGTTTTGAGGCCTGGAGAATAATGAAGGCCACGGCAAAGTTCCTCAAAAAAGGCTGTGGAGTCAGGGAAGTGACTCCCCGTCTGAGACCCCAGGTCCTCTCAGCAGGGCTGGGCTGGCGTCCTCCACACCCTGCAGGGCCCTGTGCATTTATTCTTATGTGGTTCTCCTTTAAGTGTTAAAGAAAAAAATTGGCCAAATCCCAGCCACATGCAGGTCAACAATCTGCTGCACAATCCTGAGCCACTCAGAGGTTTTGGAAGATGTGTCTAAACCTTTATGTCCTAAAAGAGAAAATGGACCAATCCTCTAAGAAAGCTTACAGTTCCCTCTTGCTAACCAGAATGTAACCATAGCAAATGCCCCTGCATTTCCGCCTCTGCCTGAGGACCCAGTGACCTCAGTGCTTCTGAGACACTGGCTGACTCTTCCCCGGCAAGAAAACAAATGCAGCTCTGTTGATTTTATTTTTTTTAGGTCTTTTGATCTTTGTTTTAAACTTTAATATGGAAAATATAACTGACGGCTTCTAATTTTTTATACTTACCTAAATGATAACAGGAGATAAATATGTATATGTATTACAGTATGATCCACACAAACACACACACACTGGTATAGCCATAGGTATAAGTGTGAACACACACACAAGGGGTGATCAAAATATAGGGCACGTTTAAATCTAAAAAATTATTACAGTAAAAGATATATCTCCGATAATCCCCCTCAAGGTGCTCCCCCCCACTTCCAACACACTTATCCCACCATTCCTGCCACTTTCTGAAGCAGTTCTAGAAGTCCTCTTTCCTGAGTGTCTTTGTGAGGTGTGATCAAAAACACAGTGACTGCTGCTGTCAAGGGCCAGCCAATGGACAAGCGACCTTGTGAAAACATCAGTGTGTGTCCTCACCCATCTTACTCACCAGATCGGGCACCATGTCACTTCTGGCTCCTCCTGAAAGTCAAAGTGACCATGAAAGATCAACATTTCGAATCTACTCAAGCATGGTGGCAGCCAGGACAGCTCAAGGACACTCATGAAAGAGGACTTCCAGAAGTGCTTCAGAAAATGATGAGAATGATCGGGTAAGTGTGTTTGGAGTGAGGGAGAGGATTTTGACAAGGATTAATGGTAATGTGTCTTTTACTGTAATAGATTTTTACATATTTTTAATATTGACTGTATTTTTCATCATACTTTGTAGACACAGAAGCAGAATAAGAACAAACATGCCTGGAGGAAGGGACGTGATATATCCACACTTTAGCCTCCATCCATGATCACATATACACACATTTTTGGTGACCTACTTTTAATTTCAACAGGTCTTTTAATTTCTGCATGCATTGTCCCAACAAGAGGTAATTGCTTGTTATCTGGTCTGGCTCTGAAAAAAGCAAAGCTTGGGAAATGAGAACTCTGCTGCCACATAATCAGTGCCATCAACATGTCCTGTGTCCTAACCACTCAGGTAGTTGAGAGGAAGCTCGCAGGGATAGAGTTGCTAATTCACAGCAATTTAGCCTGGACACACTGTTCCTGTAAGGTACCCTATCCACTATGCTTAGACACCAAATGGATCATGAAATCTTTACCTGCTTTGGGGGACTCTCAGGTTAGGAAGAATATTATCTATCAGTGGTATCCCCACAAAAACTAAGTACTTAGAAATCACCTCCCTCTCGTTTGTATTATTCTTCTATTTTTTAACAGCTCTCTTTCTGCTTAGTCTAAGAATTCTTGAGATCAGAGTCCACACCACATTCGGTGGCAGCCCGGGGAGGGTACTCAGGAGAAGTTGGTTGAACTGTATTTAATGCATGGACACTCTCAAGGTGTTCAGATAACTTTTATTACAAAAAGTGAAGTGATTCAGTTGTTTCTCTACCAGTTTTAACTTAATTTTGAAGACTTAGAAATTGCCACATGCTTGAAGATTGTACTTAAATAAAACAAGAAACCATTTATAGCATGATATTGAATAAAACAGGGACCCTGTTCTAACATGCTACTGAATTCTGCTATTTTACATTATAAGTCAATAATTCTGAGTAGTGTAGTTTGTGATTTATAATAAAACAATGATTATTAATAAAAAACTAAATAACACATTGGACCCCAACTTCTATTTTACCAATGATTTTATACAAAAAGAATGAATCTATTCTATTTCAGAAGTCATAATTTTTGAAATGTGAAAAGAACAAGTACTAATATACTGCTTTGTATGATGAGATTTCCCTAGGAAAGTTAATGTAATAAAGGAGACAAAATAATCTACATTTTTGTTTAAATAGCTGTCTGCAAAAAGCACGAGAATCAGAGAATCAATTTCTTTGTATATGGAGTGGTTGAGCACAAATAGTCACTTGCTTGGAGAATGTTCCTCTGAGTTACTAAGTCATGCTTCACACTTGGAGGTGAACTGACGGACGGAGAGAATGAGATCTGCTCCGTCAACTTTAATTTGGTTAGCAGCTTCTTCCCTCCCAACCCATCCTCTATGAGCAGAAAGGCTGCTGACCCTCCCAGAATCTGTCTCCCTTTTCTTTGATGATGGGCTCTTCTTTTTGCTTATCTTAAAAAACCTTTATTAATTATAAAAGTCACAGGCTTTGCTTATCAAAATTCAAATGTTAATCTGTTTCCTTGGTAGTTTTCTGTCTTCTGTAACTAGAATATAAGTTCCATACACAGCCTCAGTACTTCATACCTGGTACCTGGTATGTAGAAGACTTCCAGAAAACACGTGATAAATTAGTAAATATTTCACTGAAAATACATATCCTCTGTAATCATGCACCTCAAGGATGACAATTAGCCGTTGTATGGCTCACATACTGCCAACTGGTTTTTTTCCTCCATATACACTATTCTTACTATTATTAACATTTTTGGAAAAAATGGTCTTATATTAAACATGTTGCTTAGCAAAAGACTTTTATCCAATTTAGTCCTCATCATTGTTCCAGCTCATGGTTCAGACCCGCTGCCTGGTATTCCCAGGATGATGGCTATCCTTAATTTAATCATTTGTAACGTACAGACATTTGGGTGAATTGTTTTGTTTTGTTTTGTTTTTTTGGTACTGGGGTTCAAACTCGGGTCCTTGCGCTTGTGCAGCAGGCAGCGAAACCACTGAGCTAAATCCCTGGCCCATTTGGGTGAATTTTTTATACGTGTGCTATTAGAAATAACACTTCCGTGGAAATTCTTGTACCTCCATCTTGGCTAATGTACACCAATTACTACTATCACTGAGAACACTGGGTCAAAAGATAGGAAGATTTTCCAACTTTTCAGACCCTGAGATTTCTGTCTGATTTTCCCGGAGAGGCAGAAGAATGTGCTGGATCTTTGTATCTGAATCCTAGGTCTCCCACATCTTCACTGTGTGCCTGTATTGTTTAACCTTTCTAGCCTCAGTACTTCTGCAAAATGGGGGAAACAACAGAATCATCCTCATAGAGCTGTTATTACAAAGAAGTTAATATTTATAAAAGAGCAATGTCTAGCACATAGTAGGTACTACACAGACATAAAACTTTATGCAATCCCATGACATAAACCAATGCTAATGGTTAGTCTTCCTTATTACGAGTGCTTAATTGAGCAAAATTTTTGAATTGGGGGTTCCCAACAGCCTCAATATTTCTCTTCTGCATATGCAGATGTAAACTCTGCCTTTTCATGGCAAAAGCACCTGTTTATTGGTACCTACACAGAAAGTCAAATATTTTGGTCCACTTAAAACTGAAGTGGTCATGATAGATTGGACAAAGAAGGAAAGCATTCCTTAGCCATCATCTGAACTTTTTCAAGAGACAAAATTTCATGAACTCACCATGATCGGCCAGACTGCATTAATTATGCACAAAAACTCTCCCTAGAGTCTTGCATTAGCAAGGCCCGCTAATTAGGAAGAGGTGAATGCAAGAATAATTCAGATTTGTTGAAGCCTATAAACTTCTTTCTTGCAGAGGCAGGTATTTTGTCCCTGTTGAAGAGCACACTTTTCCTGATTTCTACAGCCTTCCCAAGGGTGCAGAAGTAGCTCTGGAAGTGAGGGGAGGTTCTAGTTCTATAATCATGTTCTACTTGGCCACCAGCAACCCATTTCACCTCTCTCCAGTTTCAGATTCATTAGCATAAAGGAAGGAGAATAAACTACTTCACAACAGAAATAAGTGAG